GAAGGATGGAAGGCTGAGTCAACCTTGAGCCAGTGAGATTTGAACAGCTGAACTGCAGAACTGCAGTCAGCTGAAGTAGCCTGCAGTGCTGCATTAAACCACTGCACCACCTCGGCTATATTTTAGCCTCTTGTTTTATCTTTTTTCCCAGGGAGATTTTCAGATTGCTGTTTTGGGTTCTTTCATAACTTTCCTTTGGAGATTTTGCCCTCTGAATGTCGTAGTTACAAAACAAAACCCTGTCACAAATATATCACATTTAATCTATCCTGATTTAAATGGTTAATTATCTTCTTTTTTTTTTTAACTTTCAGCTTTATGTGGTCATTTGAAAAAGCCAATCTCAGTATGGTCCAGATAATCACAGGGCAGCTTGTTGAATCCTTTGACGAAGAATTTAGGACGCTGTATGCCCGGTCTTCTGTTCCCAGTTCATTTGCTCCAGAATTAGTTAGAATCAATAGCTGCCGAACACTCTGGGAAAACGAAGCCTACCAGCATTCACGCTCCTCGTTAGCTTCCATTTCTAGTCAGCGTAACCTTTCCGGATGGCAAGACAAGATTCACAATCTAGATCCCACCGTTCTGAAGACACGAGGTATTGCTAGATATGGAATCAATGAAAACGACCAGTTCAATCCTCGAAATCATTTACTTCACAAGCCCCAGTTTGCTCCAGGTTTCCATATGCAGAATAGGATACAGCAGTACCAACCTAATGATGCCAATGAACACTGGAAAAGGCACAGCTACGCAGGGGAGAAGCCAGAAAGGACTCCTTATTTGATGCTCAATAATAGAACAACGAACCGAGCAAATAACCCATCAAACCTTTGGAAAGTGCCCTCTGATAGCCTCAGTATTGTGTCTTCATTGCACGGGAGCCATACCAACCACAAGGTGCCTCAACAGAGCTTAGCTGATCGATTTCCACCGCCGAAGCTCAATATTGCAGACAGGAACTCGATCGTACGGAGATCTTTCAATGGGACCGACAGCCATATCCGTTTTCTCCAGCAGAGAATGCCAACCCTTGAGCGCACCACAAAGTCTTTCCTACGCAACTGGCGGATTGAATCATATTTAAATGATCAGTCGGATTTCCCGGAGGATTCAAACGGCTCAGGGTTAGGAGACAGGGCCGAGAGTTACGATCCAGCCGATAATATCAAAGCCCATGCCCTGTATGCCCATTCTCGGCTTCGCTCCTCCTTTGTTTTCAAGCCCACGTTGCCAGAGCAGAAAGAAGTAAACAGCTGTGCAAGTTCTTCCAATTCAACGATCATTGGGTCGGAGGGCAGCGAAACACCCAAATCAACCCCCAATCATATCCTTAAAGAGAAAGATGAAGCTGATGGCACTAAGGCCGAACCGAGCCCTAATGTCCCACTGGAGCCTGATATAGTAAACAATCATACCTTGCAGCCGATTTCAGAAGATATAAAACCAAGCGCAGCCTTGCCTGTTCCTAAGGAGAAACCTCCTTATATGTATTCCTCTCTAAACAGAACGAAGCCAAGAGAATTCCAAAAGAATCAACAAAATGAAAGTATATTGAAAAGGCGAAGCTTTCCCATATTTGACCAGTCGAATTCCATTATGGATCACGGGGACAGCAAAGAGGCATCCAGTTACATCTACAGCACATTAAATAGGAATAGATTTAAGCACCCGAAGCCGCCTCTAGAAGAGAGCTGTAAAAACTCGAAAAGTTTGCACAGTGTGGCAAATCACGTGTCAGACAAGGATAAGAGCCGCCAAGTCGAACCAAAGGAGCCGCCGTCTGCCAAGGCTGTTTCTATAGCTGTGCTAGTTGAATCTAGCAGAGAAGACGCCAATAAGGACCCCTCGCCGAAGAAAGAAAATAAGAATTCCCCGAATTTCTTGAAAAAGGGGTCGCAGAAACTAAGATCCTTGTTGAACCTCACACCAGAAAAGAAAGAAAATTTGTCCAAAAACAAAACTGCGGCTTTTTATAGAATGTGTAGCAGTTCTGACACTTTGACGTCCGAGTGCGATGAAAATCAAAAACCCAAAACCTCTGAAACCAAGACGGATTGTTCTCCAAGGAGAAGGAGAACCTCCTCATCAAATTCACAAGGGAGCCTCCATAAGAGTAAAGAAGATATTGCCATCAGGCCTAAACCACCCAAATCTCCCAAGCCTCCCAAGTCTCCCAAGCCCCCAAAATCTCCCAAGCCCCCGAAGTCCCCCAGATCTCCCAATCCTCCATCCGATGAAACTACTAAAAGAGGCCCAGCCGCGAAACCCTTGGAGAGCATCTTGTTGGAGGTGCCTCCTGGTGACCCGTCGGCCCCCAGATTCAACACAGAACAAATTCAGTACCAAGATGCCAGAGAGTTGCGTGCCAATGCCAACCGGGAGCGAGTACCCCTGCCTGCTCCCCGAGCGATCTCTCCTCAAAGGGTGGGTGGCCCAAGCTCTCGCCTGCCCAGCCCAAAGCCTCACGAGGAGCTCGTAAGGCCTCGCTTCACCGAGAGGCGGGTTTACAGTCGCTTTGAACCATTCTGCAAATTGGAAAACTCGGCTCAGCCAATGACATCCAAAGCCAGCGGTCATTTGCCAGAGGGAAGCAGCAAGACCGCCCATAATAATTATGGGAGGAGCAATCAGGTGCTTACTTACAATCATGGTTTATACCACCCGCTACATCCAAACGAAAACAAATTTCGAGGAATTATGCAAAAATTTGGGAATTTTTTGTATAAAAACAAGTGAAACCTGGGTAAGGAGGGGGGGGGGCTTTTAAAAAACCTTTCAGTGTTGTAAATACCTAACACATTAGACTGGCGGGCAGCTTTCATAAAGCTTAATGGTATAGTTATTGCAGAACACTGCCAAATATATGTATATAATAATCATTCCAAAGCATTGGCTGTATGGAAGTTTTGGAATTGGATTTTTATGTATTTCTACATTAAATTTGAGATTTGCTCAAATTCACTTTTGATGCTTCATATTTTAATAATAATAATAAAAAAATATGACATAGCAAGCCAAGGAAAACATTTGAACTCCAGTCACAAAAAGACCACTTATTTCACAATATTTCTCCCTTTTTCATAATAAATCCTCATTTGTTCATCACACAGTCTATCTCCTTTTTAGTTTTTCCTTCTCTAAAGGAAATATGTATATATTGGAAATGCAGAATTCTCTATTTAACTCCAATTTTCAACAGTAACCACAGGTATATCATGTGCAAACTCACCAATTATGGGTTAGTTTTATGTATGAATCAAGCCACCATGACTTTTCCCACAAATCATTAATATCAGTGGTGGGTTTCAAAAATTGTTCGAACCTACTCTGTGGGTGTGGCCTCCTTTGTGGGTGTGGCTTGCCACCCATGTGACCGGATGGGAGTGGCTTGCCACCCATGTGACCAGATATGAAGATGCCGGTAGCCAGGTCCAATACCATGTAGGGCTTTAAAAGTAACGACTAGCACCTTGAAGCGCGTCCGGAGTCCAACAGGCAGCCAGTGCAGCTCGCAGAGGATGGTGTAACGGGGGTGTACCGGGGTGCACCCACAATCGCTCGTGCGGCTGCATTCTGGACAAGCTGAAGTCTCCGAATGCTCTTCAAGGACTGCAATCTGTTTGATTTATACAATGATTTGGAGTTGTGGGAGAAATGCTGCTATTATTATGGTTGATTGCAGAGTTAGCCAGTTGTTTATGCCTTACAGGAGTTTCATTTGCTGGCTTCCTCAGATTTTTGATATCCAGAGATTAGACCACTCTTCTATTGAGTTATTGCTGCCTAAGAAACATTTTTCACCAAGGCATGCATGTTTGCAAGCATAACTTAACTCCATGCACACAGAGCTCTGTTTTATTACTCCATTATCAGAACTCCCAAGGTGAAAAATAAAAGGTTAATAAAACCAGTTGTCTTCCATCTGATTCAGCATTTTTCCTGATTCATAAACTCAGGAACGGTTAGGAATACGCCTGCTAGCTTCAGAAACAAATGACGTAGAGCGTAAGATCAACTGTCAGTGAGTGAGCCAAGTTTTAACTTCAACCTCCAAGTCAGAAATGCTCTTAAGAAAAATAGCTACTTGCATGAATGTTCTCTGTTCTTGACATCTCTCTTCCCAGAAATCTCTTTACAGATCATCCTTGACTTATAACCATTTGTTTAGTGACATTGTAAGTTATAATGGCACGGAAAGCAGTGAGTTAAAGCCGTTTTTCACACTTATAGGGCTATTATTTGCCTAGGCCTAACTTCGTAACAATCTGAAAATGACACTAAAACCTTTCCCTCTGAAGGAAGGCAGAGGAATGCCCAGGGCATTGCTTATTCCACTGATATAATGCCTCTATTGGGGCATCAGCAGAATAATGCCTGATCCTGATTGATGCTGCAAATTTTGCAGGAATTGCACCAAAGAGCACTTGTTTTATCTTCTGTGAGATTCACCTAAATACCCACTTAAAACATACATAGTAACTAAAAAGCGTGACCCGACAAAAGCGTGCACGACAAAAGCGCGCCGATAAAACCGCGTCGCTAAAACCACGACGTCATCAACGTGCCAACAACAGCACGCTGACAACAGCGCGTCGACAGAAGGGCGATTTAAGGGTGATTTAAGTTAAGGTAAGGGTTAGGTTTAGGGTTAGGTTTCGGGTTAGGGTTAGCGTTACGTTTAGGGTTAGGTTTAGGGTTAGGATTAGCGTTACATTTAGGGTTAGGGTTAGCGTTACGTTTAGGGTTAGCGTTAGATTTAGGGTTAGGTTTACAGTGCACTTCTGTCGCCGCACTGTTGGCGCAATTCAGCGTTCATTCGTCGTTTAGGTTTCAGGTTTCAGGTTTCGTTTTATTTATATGCCACCCTATTCCCAGCAGGACTCAGGGCGGCTCACAAACCCAAGAGTGG